TCCTTTAAATTTTTTCTTTAAACAACCCTGAACTTATAAAAAGTTGGAAGTATATCAGAACAATTGCATTTTTCCTGAGTAAGTTTCTGACCTAATGCCCTATCACCTGTGAATAGTATGTCTTTCCTTTTAGCAAGAACATTCTCCTCCATAACCGCAACCCATCAACACTGGAAAGTTAACAATATATTGCTACCATCTGATCCTCAAACTGCATTCAAGTTTTGCCAGATGCCCCCATAATATACTTTATAGAAAAAGATTCCATTTAGAATCTCTCGCTGCATTTAGTTTTCACATCTCTATTGTGTCCTTCACTGAGGGCAGTTCCCTCATCTATACTTTCACGGCCTTGGCTCTTTTGAAGATTACAACCCATTATTTTGTAGAATGTTCCTTGATTTGAGTCAGTCTGATGTTTCTTCATAAGTAAAAAAATCAGGTTATCGATCTTTGGCAAAAATAACAAACAAGTGATGCTACATTCTCTTAATTGCAACCTATCAGGTGGCTCACAACCTCAATTTGTTACGTTACTTATAACATTGATTTTGGTCACTTAACCGAGGTGTTGTCTGTTGAGTTCTCCACTGTAAAGAACTCTTTCTTCTTCATAGTTAGTAATTTATGCAAAGGCACTTTGAAATTTTGCAACTCTCCTGTTTCTTGTCAAAGTTTCAATTTATACATTTATTCATTTGCCTCTATATGGTTTCCTAATTTGCCCGATGGGTAAACATGTGTTACTACCATTATTTTATTTTTATGCTTACATTGTCCTGTCCTTGGCCAATGGGAGGCTATTCTAACTAGCTCTCATGTTTGTCTAACAAGACACCATCATTCTTTCAGCACTTCCTTGCTTTCTGGCTGAACAAGGCATCCCAGACTCAGCTTATGTTTCCCCTGTCCCAGTGCTGGAATCTACAGTTTCTCCAGGGAGCCCTGGTATCCCTGGAGTGGGTGATGATTTTTAGCAGCCAAGATCTAGGCATTAGTTATGCTTATTACTATTGGGATTTCTCTGCTCCTAGACCCCTCAGTGAACAGAACTGGGATACACAGACACGCACATGCACAAACACGAATACAGATGTAAATGTGTATGCATATATATATATTTATGGATATTTAAATATATATGTAAATGTGTGTATGTACACTCATATACCAATATATATGTAAACATAATATATGTAAGTATAGATATAAATGTGTGTGTGTATATATACATATATATACATATATATGCATACATACACATATTTATATCTATCTTTATATCTGTAACTATCTATGTATGTTGAAATCCATAAGTTCATACTCATGACTTTAATTCCAGTACAACAGTACAGGGTCCATCCTAGATTTATTCCTTTCTGTTATTTGTCCCTCTCAGGATAGTGAGAAACCTGACTCTCATTACCCTTTTTATTTTTTAATCCCATCCAAGGATATGTTCTGTTGACTTTAGAAAGAGAGGAAAGGAGAGAGAGAGAGGAGAGAGAGAAACATTGATTTGAGCGAGAAACATCGATTGGTTACCTCATAGGAGCCCCAACTGGGGATCGAACCCACAACATTTCTTGGTGTATGGTACGATGCTCCAACCAACTGAGCCACCCGGCTCGGGCTTGTTATCCCAAATATGTTTACTTATTTGCTCAATCCCCCAGTATCAAATCAATCTCCCACTTGGTGGTACCCCCTTCCCCATGTGGTAGCTTCCTCTCTCTGCCTGGGCTCTGACTCTTCCATTCAGGACACGCAATCCTGGGATTGGCCAGCTTGGGCTCTGACTCTCCATGCTGGGCTCTCCCACTCCATGGATGCCTTTCTCATCCAGTTTCGGCTCTAACACCTTAGGCTGCGGTGGTTCCTCCATCCCTAGCTCAGGGCTGCAGTGGCTCCCTTGGCCTGGGGTGGCTCACCTTATGGCCTGTGTTGAGTTCCAAGTGTCTATAGTGATTACTGGTTTGACAGCCATTCCTCCCCTGTGTCTCTTTCTTACTTCCCTATTGGTATTTCTT